ATAGAGATAGAGATAGAGATAGAGATAGAGATAGAGATAGAGATAGATTTGTATGGTATTCAGCTTTGTTCGGGTATTTTCCCACTCATACCACCTCTTGGAAATGATCAAAGATCTACATGTGGAACAAGAAGATCTGCTTGTAAGTTTCAATGTGGTTTCACTATTCACTCAAGTCCCAATAAAAGAAACTCTCGAAATCATCAAAAATAAATACCAACCACCCAAACACCTCATGGAACTAACAGAACACTGCTTAACCAACACATATTTCATATACAAAGGACAAAGATACAAGCAAATTGAAGGAACCCCTATGGGATCACCACTGTCACCCGTCATTGCAAATCTGTTCATGGAAGAATTAGAATCCAGAGCCCTAGCCAACGCCACCCACAAACCCAAACTATGGTTAAGATACATCGATGTTATTTGGCCCCATGGAAAAGAAAACCTAAACAATTTCCGAACACACCTAAACAGCACACACCCCAAAATCAAATTCACCATGGAAATGGAAACAAACAAACAACTACCATTCCTAGATATACTAATCTACAAAAAAACAGATGGCACACTAGGACATGCCATATACCAGAAGAAAACACACACCAACCGCTACCTCAAAGCCCAATCCCACCACCGTACACACCACCACAGTACAGATAAACTCTGTGGCCAAAACACTAATCACCAGAACCAAACGCCTGGCAGACAAGACACACATAAACACTGAACTATGCACCCTGACTAAAGTACCGACAGCCAACGGCTTCCACAAAAGCAAAATCACTGGCTTGATCCACAAAAATACACTGAGACATAATGGAGACCTAGAAGATGAACAGACCTATGGAACAGCTGTCCTGCCCTACATAAGAGGTACTACAGACAAAATCAGTAAGATACTACACAGGCATCACATCAAGACTTTCTTCAAAACAGACAGAAAAATAGCAGCCATCCTTAGAAACCCCAAAGATAAAATTGACCTGGAAAACCAAGGCATGTATGAAGTCCGCTGTGGATCATGCCCTGCCACATACATTGGACAGACCAATAGAACAATAAGTACCCGCCTAGATGAACAAAAAAATGCAGTAAAAAAGCTGGAACACACGTCCTCACTAGTCCAACACATGAAAGCCACAGGTCATAGCATCACCTTCAATGGCACCAAAACCCTAGCCACTATAGAAAACCTCAGCTACAGAATTATCAGAGAAGCCATAGAGATTGAAAAAAGACCTGAAAGCATGAATAGAAGAGATGACCCCACCAGACTGTCAATTATCTGGAAGCCTGCACTCTCAAACAAAAAAAATCTCCACACCACAAGGCAGGCAAACACCTGGGCACAAACAGACTCCCTCTGATACCTCCAGCTTAAACACACCCCAACCAGGCACCCAGATGAAACCTAGCTTCCTAATAAATGATAGCCATCCGTTTACTCGGAGCCAAGCCACACTAAAAGCCTCCAATACAGGAAACACAATTTTGCCAGCCAATCAAGACACAAAAAAAAGCTACAAAACAGACAGAAGATATTAGAAACACCAATCAAGCAGAACACAGCAAACTCCAAGATCAATAAACACAGACCAAGACTCCCAACCAATCAGGATGAAGGAAAAAACCATTCTGGCACAGCAGTAGGCTAGCATCAAATTTAAAACAGAAAAGGCTGTGAAAGTCTGACTCACAGATGAACACTATACAGAAGCTTGATAATGGCAGATGAGATTCTGCCGAAATGTTGCTACAACTTTAAAAGCACAACTATAATGACCTGGGAAAATATCTGAACGAAGCTGAATACCATACATATAAATACCCGTGAAAACTTAAGAAAATATATATATATATATATATTTGAATAAAAATAAAAAAATGTTCTTTTGACCTAAGAGTGTAATGATTAGACAGGACAGATCATAAAAATAAAAAAGTATAACGCTTCAAGATCACATAAAGTGTTAATACTACGATATATTGGTCACCACGATATAAAAATGATATTGAGATTCTAGAAAGAGAACAGAGAAGAGCCACAAAGATGATTGGGGGACTGGAAGCTAAAACATATAAAGAATAGTTGCTGGAACTGGGTATGTCTAGTTTAATGAAAAAAAGGATTAGGCATGACATGATAGCAATGTTCCAATATTTAAGGAGCTGCCACAAAGAAGACGGGCTCAGCATCATCTCCAAAGCACTTGAAAGCAGGACAAGAAGCAATTGATGGAAACTAATCAAAGACAGAAGCAATCTAGAGGACTAAGGAGAAATTTCTTGATCGTTAGAACAATTAATCCATGGAAAGACTTTCCTCCAGGAGTCTTGAATGCTCCAACACTGGAGATTTTTAAGAAGAGATTGGACAACCATTTGTCTGAAATGGTATAGAATTTCCTGCCTCAGCAGGGGGTTGGACCTTGTGATTCTGTGTAACTTTAGAGAGAGAGAGGTCAAAGTACATTTATAAGTATTGTGAAGAGTAAGAGAAATGACTTCTTTATAATCTGGGGCAAAATTTTGAAGGGACTCAAACAATGGTACCAAAGTAAGCAGTTGCTCTTTGCGTTTAGCTTCTCTTCTTTTGACCTCTCTTTGATGGGTATTCTTTTTTCTAAACACATACTTTTTTTTTTTACAAAAATATGCTGCAATTATTCAAAGAAGCTCAAAGCTGAATGACCTTGGGTCAGCACTCCATTGTCCTGGCCTAGAGGTAAAAGAGCAATAGAGGTTATTGTGCCCAAGCCTATCTTGATTCCTCAAACATATTTTACATTTCAGGTAGCACTTAATGGCTATGTATTCTATGCATGCATTGAGGAATTTTTTTTCATTATTTTTATCAAGCTCTCATACCCTACTTGCTTTACTTCTAATTTATACATAGGTCCAGATGATAAATAGAAAAAAAGGGGGAACTTGGAAAGACAAAGAAAACAGCAATTACTTTCTGGTCCTCTCTAATAAATAAGTTTTCCCCTTATTGTTAATTAACAACTATGTGCAAGACCCAGTACAAAAAAAAAAAAAACACATGGAATTGCAAACTAATTAAGACATGCTGGAAAAAAAATGAAAGAAAAATATAACAGGAATGTTGTGCAATGGCATCAACATGGGTAAGGAAAAGGTGCCTGGCAGCAGATGTTGCCAAATATAACCTGGGAAGCTGTCCCATTTGGTGGCAAGCCAAGTCTTTTTTTTTTTACATCATTGCTGCAGAAACAAACCAGATACTGAATATATAAATAACTAAGGTAGACACACTGCATTTCATTTCTTCTATGTAAAAGGTAATTTAACATTTTGTTTGCTTGTCCTATCGTAAGAAGATATTTTAAATAATGGAAAAAGCATTTGTTCTATCAAATCTAAATCCTAAAGAGAATTTAAATATAAAATATATACAGGAGAATATAAAACTTTTTATGCAAGATATGTGACATATTTTTCTCTGCTATTGTCCAAGATAATAGACCTTATGTATAGAAAGGATTCCTATGACAAATAAATCAGATTTTTTTTCTTAAAAATTATTTATGTATATAAAGGAGCTGCCACATACTTATAGATCTCCTAATCTATTGGCATTATTAATAGTATTGAGTAACATTGAAAAACATGGACTCCCCCCCCCCCCACCCTCTCCCTTAAAATCTCCAAATATGTGCAGATAAATACACACTGGGAAATGTATGTATTAATATATTTCCAAATTAAGAGAATAAGTTGGGTGTAGTAGTTAAAAGATGCTAGGTTTCAAAATATCCTAATCCTCAGATAGTTGCAGAACTAGCTTGGTGACTTCGGTCTGGCAGGGCACTTCAGAAAATCTTGCCATAAAAACTACAGTTATCTGTTCATGTAGTTACCAGGAATTAGAACTGACTCAAAATATGCATTTTTTTACAATATTCAAAAACATATCAGGTCAAGGGACATGCAAGAAGTGGTTATGAAAATTCAAGCCAACATTTCTGCAATGTTCCTAAGTACCTAAGTACCAGAACCCAATAGAAGTTTATAATTAATATCATTCTCGAAATGAATTATTTTACCAGTGTCTCATATGTTAGTAGTTTTATCATGTGTGACACAAAAACAGAGGAAGAAATCTTCAGATTTTCAAAATTAGCAAAAGGCGGTATGAGATATCCATAGCAATGCATTTATTTTCTGTAGGCAGGTAAAGTTATAAGGAACAGGTGTAAAGGGATACTAATTCTTGTTTCTATTTTTCCTCAAATAAATCAGGAGTTGCTCAGAACTATAACTATGCATATTACCTTAGATTTGAATTCACTTATCAACAGTCTACAAGATAAACCTGGCTTTTACAGCACACATTTTACATTTCAAAATTGTCTGGTTCATTTTCTCTTTCTGTGTTTAATGGAAGACTTTTCACCTACTTATCTCAAACCCTAACTATTTTATCCCCATCCCTATGTCCAAACTTTACATAAACTGTGGGTAAATAACTGTTTTACACCCAAGGAACATACTCTCCCCCAACTTATTTCTATTGGTAATATGAGGATCAGAACATAATGGATGCTGTCCAAAGTACCCAGAAATGTTTTTGAGTTGGGTTTCAAATATGTCACTCATTATTAAGGCATCTATGATATTCTTCTTAAAGATATAGCAATAGCACTTAGACTTATATTACTGCTTATATACCTCTCTTTACAGCACTCTCTGAGCAATTTACAATATAAGAATATTGCCTCCAAAATCTGGCTCCTTATTTTACTGACCTCTGAAGGATGGAAGGCTGAGTCAACCTTGAGGTCTGTCAGGATCAAACTCTAGGCTGTGGGCAAATTTTGCCTGCAATATTACATTTTAACCACTGTGCCACCAAGGCACATTCCTGACACATTGCACATAACAAGCTGATTATGTTGATATATCTAGTCTTTTTAACATACGCTCCCATGAAAATATTTGTATGTAACATTAAAGCTTAAACAAACAAGCCTAAATGGATAGAAATTGGATTAATAAGTGGATATAACTATCAGGTAGCAAAGTGAAAGAATATTCAGAAGTCTATACATACTATAGAAATGGCACTTGTTACAGAAGTTAAGTAACTAACCCTTCTTTGTTGACTTTGATTCCTTTTGTTTAATCTTTTTCTTTTCTTCTAGTCTGATAACAGGATATTTTAATCTTCTTAAAGTCAAACGGAATTCTTTAAGATTGTTCATGTCTATAATCTGTTAAAATCAACATTTCATTCATTAAAGATTTCTGAGAGAGAAATGTCAGAATTCTTCAAACAGCAACATTTGTTTTGTCACAGATTTCTTTATTAACTTTATTACTGTATATTTAACAGTGCGGTAAAATTATGCTATTCTTTTTGTTCATTTTTAGCCTTTTCTGGTGGTGGGAATTGTTTGTCTCTCTAGGTAGCATCATGGTTTGCATGGATGAATGAATGCTTGTTCCAACCTCACACCTCTATGCTCCTTGAATAAATTCCAGCTTTTAGACTAAACAACCCTTTCACTCATCATCTGTTACACCAAGATGCATTTCTTTGCAGTGAGTACATGACAAGGGCACCTTAGCTTTATCTGTGCAAATAAACAAGAAAAGCTCTTAGTCTGAGCAGAAGCACGTGCTACTCCTAGGGCATTTTAAAATAACTTCAGAGCTGCTTGAGTTGAAAACCTCTGTTTACACATATCTATAAGTAGAAGCTATGGTTAAATGCAGATTTCAGCCTTTATAGTCATTTATCAGTGGAAGACATGGAGGGAGAGTATTGTTTAACCAGCTTCATTAACATAAATGCTTATAACCAATAGAGAAGGTAATTCTTAGCTGCCATATTGGAAAGAAAAACAAAGATATGAGTTTCTGAGGTCAGCAAAGCCCAACTGCATTCTTGCAGGCAGAATGAATGAAGTGAAGGAGAAATGGGCTTTGTTGCTATTCCTCCCATCCTAGTTTTTTATTCTTAAAAGGTATATCCTGTCACTGAAACCAATCGAATGAGTCAAATTACACACCCATTGAAGAGGGAAAGACTTCGGATATAATGGGTCTATGTTATCTCCCTTGCCAGGTAAGTATGGTATTCCCTTAGCACATTTTGATTTCTTTCCAATAACTGAACGCTCAATGAAAAAGTAGTGGGATGGGATGGCCTTTAAGCAAATAGTGAATTGATTCCCTCCATTAGCTTTATCACTTTGAACATGGGAGGATGAAACCTAAAAACCATATAGAGTTTAGGTATTCTCTCAGAGAGCAGTTAAAGCAGTTACTGTGACACGTAAACCAGAAGACTTCACATAACACTTTATTTTTTCCATCATTCCTTGAACTTTAAAACAATCTGCTTGTAGACAGAGAATATAAATATTCATATATTTATTGGCAGTTTTTTAAAATGTAGTTGTTTTATTAATAAGAGTGCAATGACTCCAAATGCTACGTGTATGTTTGATAGTTCAGCTTATGCCAAGTCACAGAAAAAAAACAGAGGAGTTATTTTGAAGATAATGGAAGAGAAGCTGTGTTTGGTAGCCAAGTGCATCAAGCTGCTGTAGGAAAAGGAACATATCATTTCTAAAAGAGTTTTATAGAGACGTATTACCGAAATGTATATTCAGGCTTTGATGACGTTTACACGGCAGAGCCATAGGCCATCATCATAGAAAGCAGTAGCAGATGTTGCTCACCACAACTGAAGTAATTGCATGTCAATTTAAAATATATCATTGCAATTCCTAGTAATGAACAAGCCTTTTTTATTTCAAGCCATTCACTCTAATACAGATTGCAGCTAGTTTGATTTAATAATATTTGCTCTTACGTTTGAATGTAATTTAGACACATCAGTGCTGAAATTCATTCCAATAGTTTATCCAAACAGACTGCCAGGATTATTTCATTTCAATAAAGAATATCAATTAAGACATAAAATAATGCTAGTGCGCTTAACTATGCTTTTCAGAATTCCACATTATATGTTTACATCTGTTAGTTCAAAGTAACATTTTGTCAATTTATTTTCTCAATCTCCCCCCCCCCCCATGCTGTACTGGCTAATTAAAAAAAATGCAATCCAGAAATCAGTAGATTTAAACGAGGTACAATTATTCAGCTTCTAAACATTCCCAATTCCTTCAAGCTGTCTATATATGGCATAGTTTTTATCTCCTTAATCATGCTTTTCTGAGACTAACCCATTTTGTTTAATATGAGGTGACCAGGATACACATAAAATTAAAGGTAAATTCTGATCAAAGCAGAACAAAATACAACTATTACTTTGTTGTGGTCTATGAACTATACTTCTATTGATGCAACATTTCCCCACCTCTTTTTTTTTGTAACCATAACACACAACTGACACATATTTACTTTGTAATCAGCCACTACTGTAATACAAACCAATGATTTGTTATTCTATATCTGTGCATTCCAATTACTTAACTACCTTATATTTTATTTCTGTTTGATAAATTTTAGATCACTTACTCTATTTCTTTAACCTAGCAAGATAATTTTGCATTTTGTTCCCATTTTCTACAGCATTAGCTATTCCACCCAATTTTTGTCATTCAAAAACTTGTCCAAGTCATTAATAAAATATTGAGAAGTATATGGGCCAAGAACGAACTCTCTGGTACTTCACTTAAAGGATTGCAGCAGTTTGATGACAAAACATAATGGGGTATATTTAGAATATAACACCTGAACTAGCTAGGAATTCTCTTAATTACAATATAGAACCCACATCAATCTATTTTCTTAATCAGAATATCTTGGGTACCTTATTAAACACCTTGCTGAAATCAAGCTTTATTATATCTATAGCAACACCACAATATACTGCAGAAATTATTAATGAAAAGAATATACTTCTAAGTTATCAACCAATAACAATAAAAAAGACTATTATATAGAAATATAATGCAATTAAAAATAATTGTAATGTAATATTCAAGGCACTAAACAATCAACTCACAGCAGAAAAAGCCACAAACTGGACTTCACTAGCATCCTGGCCTAACATCTAGGGGGAAAGCCATCTCTTCACTCTTTTCTGTATCTCTATATCCACAGAGATATTTCACTAAATATTTGGTCAGCCTATATAATTTACCTTCTATTGTCTCTTCACAGATATTTTACATAAAAAGTGATTAAGCTGAATAGGCTCTATTTACCTCTGTACTGACATGCTCTATGTCAGGGGTCCTCAAACTTGGCAACTTTAAGACTTGTGGACTTCAACTCCCAGAATTCCTCAGCCAGCCCACAAGTCTTAAAGTTGCCAAGTTTGGAGACCTCTGGTCTAGATAATTAGTTTTATTAGAGCAGAACACTATTCTACCAGAGAACTCTGATCAGAACTATGCATTGCTTTGCCACATTTTTAATGCTTTTCCTTGGATCTACCAACTTTTTGGTTACAATATGCAAACTGCAGATTACTGTTGTTTCTAAATAAAAGCACAAATAGTATACTTACTTGGATTGCGGGTGTACCTCTCTTATATTTTGTAGTTTGCTCTTGCTTAACAGTTTCAGAGACAGGGCTTTTACTACTATCCACAGAAGCTACGTGCTTTTTTCTACCTCTGATGAAACGTTTATACCACAGAACATCAGATATAGGACTTATGCTATTAAAAAAAATAGTTTGACAATTTTATTTCAAGGACTTAAAATGGGATTAATATTTCATACATTCAAAACAATATAAGTTATATGTACTTCATTTTTATATGATTTTCTTGCTGATTGTTGCATATATTTTCTAAAGCAAACAACCAGAAAATTACCTGTCAAAACATTATCCTTATATTATTGTTGAGAACACAAAATGAAAAACTGCATCAACCTGCTACTGACAAAACTACTGTGATATAGTTGTCTTAATTTTATTTTAATAAGTAACGTGCAAAACTCAGTTGGATATAATCTCTTTCAACCTCATAATATCAGTTTAATGTAATTCTAGGCAAACTTATTCAATGTCCTAATATGGATAATAGAAGTGGCTCAGTGGCTAAGACGCTGAGCTTGTCAATCAGAAAGGTCGGTAGTTCAGCGATTTGAATCCCTAGCACTGCTAACGGAGTGAGATCCCGTTACTTGTCCCAGGTTCTGCCAACCTAGCAGTTTGAAAGCATGTAAAAATGCAAGTAGAAAAATAGGGACCACCTTGGTGGGAAGGTAAGAGCGTTCCATGCGCCTTCTGGGGTTTAGTCATGTCGGCCACATGACCAGAGATGTCTTCGGAGGGCTGGCTCTTCAGCTTTGTAATGGAGATGAGCACCGCTCCCTAGAGCCAGAAACGCTAGCACATATGTGCGAGGGGAACCTTTACCTTTAGCCGAAACAATCATTCAAAAGAGCCTCGGTGGTACAGTGATTAGAGTGCTGTACTACAAGCTACTCTGCTGCAGCCAGCTGCCTGAAATTTGGCAGATTGAATCTGACCAGGTTCAAGGTTGATTCATCCTTCCATCCTTCCAAGGTAGGTAAAATGAGGACCCAGATTGCTGGGGGCAATATGCTGACTCTGTAAACTGCTTAGAAATGGCTGTAAAGCACTATAAAGCAGTATATAAGTCTAAGTGCTATTGTTATTGCTATTCAGGGCAACACGTACACAATTCATGTTTAACATGTGTCCTTTGTCTTATAGGTAGTCCTTGACTTATGTCCAGTCACTTAGCAACTATACTAAATTACAATGGGTCTCCCAAAAGGTACTTACAACCTTCCTGATTTGGAAGTTACAATGACCGCACTCCCATCCTCCAGTCACATGATCACATTTTGGTGCTTGGCCACCAGCTAACATTTATGTGCGTTTGCAGCATACCACAGTCACATGACTATGATTTGTAATTTTTTTTCCCAGTTTCCAGCAATTACTTCCAATTTCTGGCAGAAAAACCCACCCATTGGGTATAATGAATTGCTTAACAACCATGGCAATCACTTAATGTTCACTGCATTTGCTTAACGATTGCTGCTAAAAATATCAAACACCTGGGTCCAGTCATGTAGTGACACACTTACACACACAACTGCAATGACTTACAACAAAATTCCTCAATTGCAGTCATAAATATTTTTATTAAATTTAAACATTTTATTGGAATATAGAATAAAATATAAAAGCAAATAGTAAAACACAATTGGGTGGAAAAGGGGAAAGACAAGTGAGGAGGGGAGAAAGAAAAGGGAAAAAAGGGGTTGATTTCTGACTCTCTCTGTTGCAATAGAATAAAGCATTAACATCGAAGGTGAACTTTTTACTTTTCCATAATAATAAGCTACTTAAGTACATCAAGTACATTACTTTAAGCTACTTAAGTACATCAATTGAAGTCCTATGTTTACTTTCCACCTTTTAACATTCCAGGCAAAATTTAACAAAATGTAAATAAAAAGTAGAGTATGCAAATTTAAGCCACAAAGTACAATTCACCGTAAAATAATTACTAAAGCCATCTAACAATCACAGGCCTGGAACAAATCATCCCTGTGTAGATGTCCAAAATACTGAGAGAATGGAAGCCAAACATAATCCATGAGGGGATGCCTTTTTTATTATGGCAGTAACATTGGAAAAGGCCTTCCGCTTGGTGAAAGAAAGATGAGCCTCTGACAGTGGAGGCCTCTTCACTTACAAATGCTCTTTGTGGAAAATGAGGGGGTTTGGCACTATTCTTCTACAGATTGCCTCAAGGAGATTATTCACTGAACATTTCATTCACTAACCATGTCCTGTCATTCTTCTTTAGAGAGGTTTATTTTCAACTGAGATCCTCAGCATTCAATAGCAAAAACCCTTTTTAGCTTACTAATTTATGAATCGCTGCATAATTTGTGAGTCACCTGACTATACGAGAATCTTGTATTAAAGCGGCTCCATTTTACCTCAAGCTGAAGGGCATTTTTAATAATAATAATAATAATAATAATAATAATAATAATAATAATAATAATGGAACTAAAATAATGCCTCATTAAAATAATACCAACATAATATGCACTACATATTCAAGAACTGGAGTATTTTGCAGTTCAACTGAATAGTATTTGCCTAATGGGCTAAGATCTATAATTAGAAAGACATTTCAACTGTATGTTGAAATACCCAATATGAATATCAGTATGACTAAAATTTGCCATAATCTTGTCAGCTTTCATAGGGATGTAACATACTTTACAAATTTACTCATAGCTCCCATTGAATATTACAGGCTTTAGTTCAAATTTCATTTGTGTCTAATTTAAAAATTTGTATAGCTGCCCAACTCACAAATGCAACTGAAGGCTAACAAGGGATTAAAAGCAAAACCAAGCAAATAATCAACATAAAAGAATCATTCATAATAAGAATTTTAATATATATATATTAAATTCTTTCTCCAGATGGACCCATTCAATGTCCTAATCCAGTAGTCATGGGGGTGGGGTAGAATCAAGTTAACAAAGGGGCAGAGGGGTTAGAAGCATCTGAAATTCACAGGATACGCTATACCAATGGCCAAGCACTTTCTCAGAGAATGCACACTTCCTGGGTCTCATTAAATGGCAATTGTAACAACAGTTATTAGAGTACACTATTATATTGACTAGCCTTTGCCAGACCAGCATTGCAGTCTCCACTTCGTCCCAATTTCAAAATATGGATAACAATACAATCCATTCTACAGAGCTGTTTTAAGAATGACCAAGGGAATTATCCTTTTCAACTTAATTTTTAACTTGATACAGATTTGAGGATGATGCCAGCACTTCCCTTGATCAATATCGCAGTGGCTAGGAAATCAATTTTAACTGTCTTTATAATCATCTTACTTATCTAGCTTCAGCCCAAAGGTTCACGAGCGGTCACAGAAGCGTTTACTTAAATAACCTTGTTTCCTAAAAGGGTCATAATAATTTAGCAGCTAAGTGTTCTCTTGTGAAATTACGCAGAGAAGGGACAATAATAATTTGAAATTTTTAAACAAATTAGCACAGTGGATAAACATTCCATTATTATGTGTGTGAAAGCATACTATTAAGGGTATGATTTCAGTCTTAAAATATGTGGGCTTGTAAAATCACTGTTATGTTTCTGTTGTGCCAGAGCAGCAGGGAAAAGTGAGTTGACGGAGCTGCATTTCTCTTTCAAGTTTTCAGCATTGTCTGTAGATGCACAGCATGGTGCCAACATGTAAAGACATGCATTTTGCATTACGTATCTTCTGTACTCTTCAAAATACATTGGACTCATGGAAAGAGCAACCTGAAGACATTAGTTAAAAAGAAGTAAATTGTCAGTTCCTTAAAGAAAATGTGACCTTTTGCCAAAACAATGCACTGTCTGTCACTCTTTATCAGAATAATAGCCTGACAAGTTTATTGTTGTAAGTATTTCATTTTCCTTGCCAAATAATAGAGTGTTATCAAACAAGATGGTTGTCAACATTCAGCCTCATTTCAAGCAATACAAAATATAGACAAGCAGTTGTAGTATGATTACATGGCTCTCTATTTAACTGTTTTGTATTTTCCAAGAAGCCTTTCCAGGAAAACAAACAAACTCTTAGATCTTTTAAGGCAACCTTTCCAATCTGGCACTCCACAGATATGTTAGGATTACTATTTTAACATTTGCAAGCTGGCTAACAATTCTAGGGGGTTGTGGTTATAATGCATTTTGAGTATGCTAGCTGAAGGAACATTCTTACACAAAGTCAGCATCATTATGCAGCTATTTTTCTTTGTTTCACTATCTCTGAACTTCAGTACCTTTTGCTTCAAGCTCTACTGTTTGTTATTTCTTCTTTCTAATTCATTAAGCTCCCTTTCTCAGCCTCTGGTGCTTCTTCATTCACTCCTGCAGACTAGCCCTCAGACCTGAACACATTATTGCAAAGCTGCATTTATAGTATTCTTCTATCCTCTTCCTGGCACCTCTCAGTTTCAGCGTAAGTTTGAAAGTGGAGAGGATTCAGGAGTACATCCCTGTGGTACAGCCTTATGGCACATTTAATGATCCCTTTTCTTGAACTGCCAAGAAGGTCTACCTGAACTCCTCAAAGAAAAATATATGCAGTTCCTGAGCTAGTTGGGCTAACTGAGCCCTATACAAATTACCAGCCAATCTAGCACAGTATGAGATTCATTGATCTAAACTGACAACCTTTCTAATCTTACTCAGTATAAGATGCTGGAATTGATGGAGAGTATTTTGACAGATGTGGTTTGCTTGGTTTCTGAATGCTTCATAGAGCACCATCTGTGTACAAATACTACAAAGGCACAAGTCAGTGCTTTTCATCTTATAAATCATGATGCTAAGCATGAATTTACCATCATCTGCTGTGGGGTATAGTTCACCCAATACTTAAATTCAGAGTATCTTGCAGAATAATACTTTCTTTCAGAGATCACATTAAAAAGACCCAGGCAACTTTAATATCGATGATAACACTTCAGTAAGACATTCTCTTCACCTTGTCATACTTAATATAAACCACTATGCATGCTGCTCCGTATTGTGTAGTGTCATTACACCCATTCCTGCTTTTTGGTAACATACTACCTTTAATATGCAATAAACAATTAAAAGATCTATTTACAAGTATAGGAAATAACACCAGGAACAAATAATAATGAAAATCAAACTTGCATATTACAAAATTGCAATCAAATCAACCATGTTAATATTTTGCTCCACTTCTGTGATCATATCCTCAGAGAACTGGGCTTGAAAAAACTAGATTCTATTATTTCATACAGCATAAACTCCTTTGATGTCGTGGCTGAATAATTCACAACTATAATGGTGTTTGTGTGGTCATGTGATCAATGAGATAGAGTCTTAAATGTTCATCCAAGAAGCATTTTAACAGTTTTAGTAATCCATAAAGGGTAGAAATGTCAAAAACAAATTTCAAATTTCCACCAAGAAAAATTGGATGATCTAGATCAGCCAGCTCTGTACTGCATCAATCTAGATGACCACGAGAAGTCAGCAAATAAGCATCTAATAAAACTCTTTTCTGCCCTGTAGTGGTCATCAGGTTTTTATTGCAGCCCATATCTGATTGCACTATTATAATGAATATGCTAAATAGGCCTTAGAAAAATTGAAAAGAAAATACTTAAAATTCTTAATTTTACAAAATTGACTATTTGTTTTCATTCATTTTCAATAAGATTTATGAATTTAGAACCAAGTACACATTTATCACATAAAAAATGCATAAGATGACTCTGTTAGAAATGGTTAACTGAGAAAGTGGAGTTAATTGATACAAAACTGCAGCAAAGGCCTTTTTCTCTCCATTGGCTCTTTCTGCTATCTTCTCTGTCCTTTACAGATGATTAGTTCTGTCTACTGCACCTGCTTTTAATCACTTGGAAAACTTTACACAGCAATCCTAAATCCATTCAAAGCTAATTGAATGGCTGGTGCATCTATAAAGAACATGATTCTATTGAGAAAGTAGCGTATTTGATATCCTCTGAAGTGGTTATGGAAATTTCTGCCAGCATATTCTGTTGCTGTTTTTACTGGCATGGGGATTTTTGTGAATATGTCAAGATAGGCTATACTAGCCAACATACCTTCATTTCCAAAGCCATCAATGAATTAGGCTTGAAGCTTCAGCAATGACACTTATTTTCCATCCGATCAACAAATTGGAGAAATTGAATAATAATAATGACAAGGGAAATGTTCCTCCCACTTGCTTAGCCAAACAAATGGTTATGCTTAGGAAATGGTAGGTCTTCCATTTTAGATTTTCCTATATATCTTTCTTCCCAATATTGGTAAAGGAGAAGAAGAAGAACATAAATGTGAGGCAGAGGGGAGCAGACAATAGCTAATGTTTCTACATATTTGAAAACAAGTCTCTCCAATCTTCCGCCAGACTCTAGGAAACATTCAGAAATATAAAGTTAAAACCTTACTTAATAATGGTATATTTGATATATTAATATAAAAGCCAAATATATATAAAATATAGCCATATTTTGGACAATGAAGTTTTAAAGAATTCATTCGCTCATGTTTTAAGATAACATTTGACAAAAAAATTCTCAAGAATAGAATGTCAATACTGCCTGCTAGAAATCTGCCTGATGATTTTTGCTGAATATAATTTATATGACACGCATTTATTAAATTTCTCACTGTGTGTTTTGTAAAATTGTCTTCCATCAGTCAATATTGATTAATGCAAAGAGATTGCATTAATCCAGATTGCAAAAAATTCAGCTGGGTAACCTTAGGCCAGTCGTTCTCTCTCAGCTCAAGTCACCTCATAGAGTTGTTGTTGAGTGGGAAAAGAGAAGGAGAAAAGTCGGCTGGATATTTTAATTAGGAAGTTCTTCACTCACAGTTTAGAGATTTTTATTAATAAAGATTTTTTCTAAACATGTATCTAAATATGAAACAAGCATATTCTTCATTGTTGTTGTTGTATACACATGATATTGCTTTCATTTTTCTCTCCATTTCTTAAGTAAGACAGGCTTAAATTTTCCTTAGCTGTACTGATATTAAAATATTTATTATAAATGCTTTTATGCTGCTTCAGTTTAGATTCTAAATTAATAATGAATTCTAAATTAATAACAAATACAGTATTAGTAATCATAGAGCAACCCAGTCATAAAAATTATGATACTTCAGTCATAATCATTCATAATCCTATCATAATAAAATAGAGCCAGACATTTTTAGAACCATTTAGAACACACCCAGGTACTTATTCTCTTCATTACTCTGCAGTCCCCAAATATGTGCTGGAAAAGCACCTTTTCAAAAGTTTTCTGAATACCAGAGGCAAGTTTGCAGATATTACACCTGAGAAGATATTTCATAGAAGGGAATATGCTTTATGTGTGGAGGTAGAGGGATTTCCAGCAAGCATTCTCCAAAAACATTCCTTTGTAGTAAGCAGTCTCACAGATAACCACTCCTAGGTTACACAGGATTGTAGAGGTTGTAAAATTATTTTGAATTGAACCTAAAATCAACCAATCACCAATGCAGCTTTCAAAATATTGGTGGTGCATGATAATATTGGTTGTTAACATGTCAGCTGCTGCAATTTACATTAGTTGCAGCTATTTCCGTCTTTATTCCAATATTACCTAAATTCAAATAGCTTCAAGATGTATAAAATCCACCAAGCTTTTCCACCCGTTACTTTGTTAATTCAAATATGGGTGAACAGCAGTTCCTTCAACAGGTTACATTTCCATTATCAGTACTGGTGCTAAAACATTATTACAGAGAGACCTAATTCCAAAATTGTCCAAAACCAGTCTTAACGTTGTGTGTGATCTACTTGGCTTTGTCACTCATTACCTTGGAGGAAAATTAGGTAATTGACATGACTAATACAGACCCACTGAAGGAAAGAAATTTCATCCTACTACTGCTAGTCCTCGATTTGCAACAGTTTATTTAGTGACTGTTCAAAGTTACAATGACACTGAAAAAAATGACTTATGAATGTTTTTCACAGTAACAACCTATACAGCATCCCCATGATCGTGTGATCAAAATCCAGGTACTTGTCAACTGGTTCATATTTATGACCAATGCTGTGTCCCAGGGTCACGCGATCCCCATCCTTTTGTGGCCTTATGACAAGTGAAGTCAATGGGGAAGCCAGATTTATTTATCAACAGGGTTGCTAACTTATCAACTACAGTGATTCATTTAACAACTGTGGCAAGAAAGGTTGTAAAATGGGGCAAACTCATTTAACAAATGTTAACAAACAGAAATTTTTGGGCTCAACTGTGGTTGTAAGCTGAGGACTACCTATATAGCTGTCTATTGATTCAAGATTGGTGATCAGTATCTCAATTCAGCTATAGACAAAAGCTCTGTGGCATACTCATTTTGAAGTTGGCCAAATCTTTCTTCTCAGAAAATATGAACTACCATACGTTGTGACCCCACACCTGAAATATCATATATAAAAATGCTAAAATAATTTTAACTGTCACAAGCTATTTCATACACATTCAAAATCAGGCAGCCCCATTATAATCATTTGTTTTTGGTGAGTAAAAATGCATTTACTTATTATTTGAAATTTTCTTTACTAAATTTAAACACCTGTAATTATTTTGTATCTAATGACGCTACTTGTAACTTTTGTATTTTTTTTGAGAAACAATAGCACATTAACATATTAATCTATTCAATTTGCAGCAACTTCACACAGTGATTATAAAGCTAGTTTAGACAAGTATTAATTTCACAAACAAAAAAATGAAAACGATTGCACTGTATTTGCTCTTATTTGCTCTAAGAACAAAAAAAAAGGAAAACTTCAGAAATCCTCATAAGTAGAAATCACAGAATTTTATAGTGCCTATTGTGTCTGAGATACCTACATTGCTTTTGTGATTTTTTTAAAATTAACAATTTTATGTCAAATTTGTTTTACAGAATTTAAAAATTCAATCTGAAAATGTGACCATGTACGTTAATCAAGTTTTAGAATATCTGTGCAATATCAGTGGGTTTCCCTCACAAACATTCATAATATATAAGTTTATACAAAGCAATGATGTTGGTGGAAGTATTCAGAGTTAAAGAAAGTAAATTTAGAACTATTAAAATCAATGCATTTTCCAAAGGCTATTAGTGGGAATTCAAACTATAGAGTTTTGTTCTTACAGTACTGAAATAACCAATGACAGCAAAAGTGCTTAATCAATGAATCAGCAATTATATCTTTCAGTTCTAAAATATTCAATTAAAACCTTTACAGGATTGCTCCATAGACATTTGACAAGGCAACTTTAATTAGATACATGAAAATATCACTTTCTTAAAACTAAGTAAAAATAAACTTACCACCATGTTTTTCTACTTAAATATCCTCTGATCCATCTCTGAATAATCAAGATTGGTGAATGATGAACTAGAACTTGATTGATCTTGGAAATTATATTTCTTACTATTTTAATTTCTTCCTGAAATGTAGTATCCTAAAAATAAAACAAAGCAATATAGCAACGTTCATCAAAGTGCATTAAAACCAACTATGCTTTATGTCTTTTTAAATGATATTTCTGAACGCAATTATTTTGGATAAAGCATCCTAGCTATTTTGCTTTGGCTTATAATTTTTATATATTCTGGTAATAGATTGCTTTTATGTAAACCTTTTTAACTGAACTCATAAGAGGTCATAAATTTCTCCTATTCTCTGGTTATAGTTCCATTTATCATAGAAACAGACATTTACATCATTTTTTTTTTTTTTTTGGCAAGGAGCATTTCATATATTTTTGCTGTTCCAAGCAGTAATTTTTTCCATTTTAGTTTAGCTGGCTTTGGTCAATAGCTGTCAAAACTAGAAGCAGGGATGCTCACAAATTATAAGTTGATGCTAAATTTAATGCTGAGAAATAATAAGCAAAAGTAACAAATTCAATAGAAATGGAACTTTCAGAATCAAACTGCTCTTTCTTGGCTGGATGAATATAATGAATTATAATTCATTACTGATTAGATTTTTGACTGATTCATGTAAGGTCCTAACTTCTCTTTATCTTGTTCAGCATGTACAGCTTAGGGGACAATGTAAAGATATTTCTCAGATCCTATTTGTACAAATCTGTTCCTATTCAATGTCTGACTAGCATTCGTAGCACAATGTCCAGGACAACAATGCTTGAACACCATCTGGGTACATTGAACCAGTAACTGCTAAATTGTTTAATATTATACATTTAATAAATGTGTGTGTACTTACGTGTGTATTACATGATGTTCTTCCATGAATGTTATCAATAAGCTATTTTGAAGAATGTAATATGTTTTGACAATACAGGAATTTCATGAATGATTAACAGGAATTTTTATGAATAGCACTTTTTTCTCAATTTAGAATTCATTATTTCGGAATTCAAACAAAATCAGTTAAAAGACTTCCCTTTCTGTATTATTTAAGGATTCTAATAAGCAAGTGTGTCTTATTAGCATATGTGATCAAAAACAGGACCCACTTTTACTAGTAGAAAACTTCAGAATAAAATCTTATACAGTATTCATTGAAATAGAATTGATTTTTTTTTCCCTAATCATGAATCAAGATATGCCAGGATTCATCTTTTCACAGGAAATTTTAAGTTTTGCCTGAAAATTCTTTTTCCATCTACAAACTTACCCACCTACCCCTACTGATTGTTTGTACTGTAGTAGTCACCTAATTCTCTGAACATTGTACTATAATTACCTGAACTCATATTTCTACCAGGAAATAAAAATATCAGATTAATGTATTTTGGACACAGCAATCCAGATTCTTTCTCAGAGTTGCTCACCAAGAAGGGGGAGAATGGGCCTCAACTATACAGTGTTATTTAAAAGTTGTGAAACACTTCTGAATTTTCATACTTCTGTACAGATATAACATACAATGTGATCTGCTCTCCACACATCTTAAAATTAAATAAAGAGAACTCAATTGAACAAATGAATCAAAAACATTTCACTTGCTTATTCATTGTGAAAATTTATCCAAAGCTACATATTTGTGTTTGTGTGCTTTTCAATAACTGGTGTGCCCCCCAACCCCGTAAATCCATCACTGGAGCTAAACATGAATGTGAATTGTTGATCAATCCTATGTATCAGCTTTAAGGAATATCTCAGTCATCCTACAGAACAACTTCAACTAAGGGATTAGTTGAATGAACTGTGTGCTTCAGATCCTTCCACAATATTTCTCTAGGATCAAAGTCAAAATTTTGATTCAATCATTCCCTTCTGCTTTTATAATTCTTCGGTCATACAACTATATGTTTGGGCTACTGATTTGCTGCATGATAAATTTTGTCTTGAAATCAGTTCACTGACAGATGACCTGACATTTTCCTGTAGAATTTGCTAATGCAATTCAAAATTCACAGTTCCATCAATGATGGCAAGCCGTTCTGCTCCAGAATGGCAAAGCAGTCCCAAACCATGATATTGCCATCACTAGGATTCAGCAACGGGATAGGTTTCTTATGCTGTCACTGTTTGCCTTTCACCAAACCTAATTCAACAAGTTGATTTCTTTAGTTTTGCTTTGTCTCCTTCCTGGAACAGCTTGAACAGTTTTTCTTTGTATCTTCTTAGAATGAATTTCCTTGGTTTATTGTTTATTTGTTTGTATACCCCACCTTCCATATGTTGCTTTCCAAGTCACTCTTCTGATTTATTATTTGTATGTCCCTTTTATTATTAAAATTGTTTTCATTTATAAATCCATTTTGATATTATTTTCCATATGACTATTATGGCATTTTAAAATTTATTTTCAGACCCACATCTTTTTTCTTTTACAATCCAGTACAAACTCCAAATCCATCTTCAAATCAGTTTGTTTAATCCAATAAAATATGTTCTTTTTCTATACTTGCACTATAATGGCACACAATTTTGTAAGCTCTGAGTAAACTGGTTATAAAAGGCCTTAATTTCTTCTATAGTCAAATAGCACAGCCTCGTATTAATAGTCTGTTATTCTTTACGAGTAATTCTTTGTTCTTTCTGTAGCCAGCTTCGAGTTCCCTCTTACCATCTGCCTGTTTTCCTTTCAGCAAAATTTTCCCACAGGAGGATTTCTTAACATTAATTTCAAAAACTTCATATACGATTTTATAAATTATTGAACACCTTACAGGAAATGTTTTTTCAGGTCCATCTAGCCTATTAACTTTCCAAAATCAACATTCTAGTCCCACTTTTGCTGTTTTCCAAAAAAAATCAAAGCTTTTCTTGTTAATCCTTAAACTTACTAAGAACTTCTTTCATCCAGGATGAAAGAAAACTTTCCCAGTATAGTATGACTTATGTTTTGGAAGAAGTTTGTAGTAAGCAGTTTCCTAAAGTAATTAAGAGAGGAAGTATGCAAACACAATGTAAGGTGCACCTAGTGTGGCTTAGGCAAAATGAATAGTCGCCCATCCCTCAGACAAACTTGCTGGAGAGTGCCATTTTGCAATCTCTTCGCAGGTAGAATCTGTATGAAGCCATAAATGGATTCCCCTTATCTTCCCCTCAGTTTTCTGAGCAGCCAATCCCTTCACCGCCTCCTATTTTCACTCCAATTTGTAGACTCCACTAAAAGCACAGTCATGCTCAGTGTGCAAAGCTGTCTTGGAGATCTGCAAGCTAAAATAAGACACTTTGGAAATGGCAGGAAATCAACACTCTGCACCTCCTCTACCTAGTTTAATAAAATCCTGTGACACTTCCCAGAGATGGTTCCCAATGAATTCAATACAATGCACTTCTGAAGTTATAAATATTGAGACTATACTAAGAGCAAATCAGAGATTTAGTCTTATGAAAAGGACTGGGGTGACAGGATAGCAGTGTCCCGATATCTTAGAGGCTGCCACAAAGAAGAGGGAGTCAAGCTATTCTCCAAAACACCTGAGGGTAGCAACAGCAATAGCACTTGGACTTATATACTGCTTCACAGTGCTTTACATCCCTCTCTAATCCGTTTACAGAGTCAGCCTATTGCCCTCAACAATCTAGCTCCTCATTTTACCAACCTCAGAAGGATGGAAGGCTGAGTTAACCTTGAGCCAGTGAGACCCAAACTGCCAAACTGCTGGCCACCTGTGATCAGCAGAAGTAGCCTAACCACTGCATTCTAATCACTGCGCCATCTCGGCTCTTTCTGGTAGAGCAAGAAGCAATGGGTGGAAATTAATAAATGAGAGAAGCAACATAGAACTAAGGAGAAATTTCCTGACAGTTAGAACAATTAATCAGTGGAACAACTTGTCTCCAGAAGTTATGAATGCTCCAACACTGGAAGTTTTTTAAAAAGATGTTGGATAACCATTTGACTGAAGTGGTGTAGGGTTTCCTGCCTAGGCAGGGGGTTGGACTAAAAGACCTCCAAAGTCCCTTCCAACGCTGTTATTCTAAATTCTAAATTTATGACCACTTTCCACAATTAATACTCATACTGAGACTTATTTTTTCCTGAGAGAAGCAAATGTTTCACAAACCTACTTGCAGGATGTCTCTTGAGAGGCAGAATCTTTGTCCACACTGAAGTCTAAATAGAAAGATTCTGGCTTGAACACAGATAAAAGTGATAGATTGTTAGAATGTAAAGATAAAAATTTTTCCCTGCTTAGGCTCCAGGGGGTGGTGCTCATCTACATTTCCTAGTTGAGGAAGCCAGCATTGTCCAAAGATCTTTCCGTGATCATATGGCTGGCATGCCTATATGTCAAAGTTCATGGAACGTTGTTACCTTCCCACCAAAGTGGTGCCTATTTTTATCTGCTTGCATTTGCATGCTTTCAAACTGAGGATATATTTAAAACTTAGTGTTCCTAAGAAAGCATACATAATAACGTTTTAATAATGTGAAATTACTTTGTGTTTACCTTTCCAGAAAGAGGGTAATAGTCAACAAAAAAGTTCAGAGTAAATGGTTTGTATTTTTCAGGTAGTCTCCAACCTTCAGTTATTTCTTCATCAGAAATGACATAGTAGTCTAGTGCCTTGAGTGAAAAAATGCTGTTAACAACAATGTGCCTATAGGCAATTTTCAAGCACAGTGGAGTGTTATACAAAGTGAGGGCAATAAGATTAGGGCAAAAAGATAATGAATGCACATCTTCCAGTGTTGAAATTCCATTATCATGTAGATATAATAATTGTAAATTCTTCATGTATCTCCAAAACATTGGACCAGGAAGTAATTCTAGCTGAAATAGGATTGAAAAACAATTTTAAAAGAGAGAAAAATGAAAAATGATTTAATACATATATTACTACACTTTAAGAGTATATAATTCTTCAAAAAGCACAACCATCAAATCTGGTCCATAATTACAATTTAGTACTCCCAAAGGTTGCCTTTTCAAGTACAAAAGAGAAAAAAGGCAGTCATTGTCCACCAATGAACTTTTAATTCCTTAAAAGTTTCCAATACAGAAATACCATAATAGAAAACATTCAGAATGTTTAGATGCTGGCTGGGGAATTCAGGGAGTTGAAGCTCACGCAACTTAAAGTTGCCAAGATTGAGAAACACTGGTCAATGGCAAAAAAGAAAGTGGAGAAATTACCAAAATATCTCAGTGTAAAATCAGTCAGTTAATAATGCCTATAGAAATTGGCAGCATGGTAGGTAACTAATATATCAATTAAAGGGAATGGAAGAATTCCAGAAATGAGACAATGAATTCTTAGGTATACCACAATGATCTAAAAACCTTCCTAAAATTATTTTAAAAAATTCCTCTAGCATTTTTAAGGAGCATTAAAAGATTTATTAGAAATTATTAACTATTAATCCCCTAGATTTAGACAACTTAAAAACAAGGGGAATGAATTAGTATAATTCATTCATAATTCAGCTCTACCTACAGACATTTTATTTACAGAGACTCCTAAGACACTTTTAATATGGCAATAATTGTATGGAAGTTATAACATAAATTGTATATGATCTATAAAATAATTTTGTGTTGTATGAATTTTAGATTATGTGTTTTTATAGATATAGTATAAAATATCAACAAAAATGATGATAAAAATACATTGTCTAAAATAAGTATTAAAGGCAAGCTCCTGGACCAGAGTTGCATGGGTTTTCAAAGGCATGATTAAGATTCTCTATTCATATAACAGGGGGACAGAATCTGACATTATCATCCTGAGTCAGTTGAGCATTCAAACTGAATGTTTTTTTTTAAAAAAAGAAGTAAAATACCCTCCTCCACAAAAAAAGAAAAATAAGGGAAAACTACAACACATGAAACAAGACAAAAAAAATCTAGAACAGCTATTTTTCAGGCTTCCATTTGGAGTAAGGATATTAAACATCAAACATTTTGAGCCAAAAAAACCCCAAAACACTCCATATCAATTTATAGTGCTTTGGCCAGTTAATTTTATCAATATTAAGGCTAGAAATAAAAATTTAACTGTGACTGATTGCTATAATCTTTAAATGCATTGCCAGTGAAATAAAACCCTGGTTCCTATAACCCATGACTAACACATAAAAAGAATCAAATTTTAAAGAAGATATTACACATATTTTAGGATAGATATGTGTGTGTGTGTGTGAAGGTGTTCATTAGATTAGTTATTCAGTTGGAATGAGCAAAATAAACTGATTTAAGAATCCATAAGCAGTTTCATTGGAAAACTCCATAATACTAAGACATACCTAGTTTGATGCAAACATTTAAGAGTTCTCTTCTATTGGTCTAGATTAGATTGAAGGTGAAGGTTTGTTCTCAGAGCTTGTGGGTTGGTTTCCTAAAGTTTTGTTACCAGGCTAGATTCCTAAACGCTGCTGAAGATATTATCTAGCCTGGTAACGAAACATTCAGAAACCAACCCACAAACTCGGAGAACGAACCTTCACCCACATCCTACACCTGATCTACACATATTTGTCACTATTGTATATATTAGATTAGTTTGAAAATTACACTTTTAAAGCCGTTACTACTCACCTGATTATTATGGAGATCCAATTTAATTAAATTAATGCAATATTCAAGTGCATCAATATTTGTAAGAAAATTACAAGACAAATCACATATTTTGAGTGAAACACAATATGGCATGCTTCGCAGATCATACAGGAAATATGCATGCAGTCTAACCATAACCAGATTTCTCAGTTTCTTTGCATCTCTTTCATCAGCAGTTTGGCCATATTCAAGTAGTAGTTTTTCAGAAACACAGACAAGGTATTCTAAAAATTCCTCCTCCATAATTATCTCTTTTATGGTTTATCCATGAGAAATCTAAAGGGGAGAAAGGATTACACAGTAAGTTACCTTTATTCAGCTTTCCTTTAAAACAAACCTTCAAATAAATAAACTAAATATCCAATTGCTCGATACAATTCCCCGTTTTATAAAAAGATAAGCCATAACAAAGAAGCTAGGAAGAAGAAAACATATTTAAGAGAAGATTTAAGAGCATGTAAACATCTGGTGGAGAAATGCCATTTTACATTTTATCAGATAAAGAAAACACTTCATACTTATACCACCACAAATAGGGAATAGAAATATTCTCAATGGCAAATTATTGATTTGTTTTGTTACATGACAGATTTCCTTCCTGTGTCAAATCTACTAAAATAACAAACAAAATAATAAAATATAATGATACATTAATTATATAATTCAGCCAATATAAATTGTATTGCCAGACCTTTGGGATAATTTGTGGATGATATAGATAACCTTGTAATCAATAAAACACATGAATTAAAAGCCATTTTAAAGAGTTCATTTTAAAGCTTTCTAAATCCTGAAAACAAATATATAAATATTATAAAATTTTATAAAATTGTTTTATAAAATAAAATGGCAGAGGGTTTCAAGGGTTCTACAGAGAAATGATTCTATTGAGAAATGACCAACGATCTATAATCTATAAAGGATAAGTCAACTGTTCAGGGCCTTCAAAATGGTTATTTAAAGAATCATATTTTTTAATCATTCTATTTATTTCTGTGTTTGTTTTTAGTCATTCATTACTGAGGCTTATGTGTCACTTCAATCACAACCAGCTGTAAATAGTATATACCCCAATTCAGTAAATAGATTTGGCAATAGCAATAGACAATAATGTATTTTAAATCTTACTTTGCCAAGGAATAAGATACTGACTATACCGAAAAAAGATAAACTATCACTTACTGCAGAGGGGATTCCCATTCTGAAATCAATCTCTAAGAACTGTCAAAGTAGTTAGATATAGTAGGTTTTTTCTAGATGCTCAAAGGGTTAGTGCTGAATTACAGTCTCTATTATTCCTGAATTTAATAAATTTAAGCTAGAAATGTTTACAAGCATAAAACTGAACTGCCTCCAGAAAGAGCTAAGTTTTAGTTCACTATCAGCCACAGAAGCTGACAGAGTGACTATTGGCCAATTATTACTAACATCCAGAAGAGAGAGTGCTATGCATACTATTTTGAGCTCTTGAAGAAAAGATGGAATATCAATCTAATAAATTAATTAATACATTACCAACATGCAGTGTCATATATTTAAACTTTGAAGATTTGAGGTTTTCAGGATGTCCTAGCTTTATGAACAGCAATGCTTAAAGTTGTAAATAAATCTATCAGGCTTAACTTGAAGTCATCATTTCAGCCCAAATTTCATACAAGCATAAGCGTACTCCTGAGCAGATAATGTTTAGAGTAGCAGCAACCAACAAAGAGAGAAAATCCACAGTGAAATCATGTAAAATCCCAAGGGCAAAACGTTACAGCTTCCATGATTTCCAAGACAGGAAGCCATAAGCCTTCATGGCTCAGCACTGTTCCAGCAAACTTCCTAAGCTCTGATTTCTCTCTATAAATCAATATCTAAGAAGAACTGAAACAATAGAGATTTAGCTTGTTTAGATATTTAAAATGTACAGACTACAGGAAGAAATTCCATAAAGTAGGGCTGTCAAAGAAAAGGCCTGATCATATCTAGTCCATGCTCCATAAATTTCATAAATTGGAAAGGGCTGTCCATGAACTCTGTAGCCCATGTTTCATAAATCTCATAAATTGGAAATGACTATCTACAGATTCTCAGATGACTGAATCAAATGGGCAGATTCAATCCAGCCAAGATATTGCTGATATATTCTAATGCTGTACCATGTAGGGTTTTAAAAGTAATTTCCAACATTTTGAATTGGGTCTAGAAACCTACTGGCAATTACTGCGATTGAAGCATTGTTACTCTACACTAAAACTGACTTGCTGCCATATTTGCTGCCATATTTTGTACAAGGTGTAGCTTGAATTGTCTCCAAAAGCAGCCCTACACAGAGCTCACTGCAATTGTCCAGTCAAGTGATAAATCAGGGTGTTATCTACTACAGCACAGTTGTACCTGACATAAGCAGAAGCTGACTAAAGCCCATCTGTCTATGTTTTCCATCTACTTGGTACCTGAGCAGGTACTGAGACTTTAGAAGCATCCTCAAGTCAACTGGCCAAAGGAACAACCAGAACCAACATTACCAAGTAACAAGTAAAATTAGTAGAACTTAATCTAGTCTTGTTTTACCCCATCTGGAATTCACAGCTTTCATGCATCAGTTGAGGATTGGCTTAGCACCTGTTTGTTCCCAACAACCCAACTGCATAAATTCTAGGGAACTGATGGAAGAATGGGAACAATTGTGAATTGGGCTAGCAACATGCCTAAATTCCTCAGCGGTAGCAGATTTTAAATGGGGATTTTAGTGCAAAGTAAAATCTATTGGTTTCATGCAGAGATAGAGCTGTAACATGTTTCTAAATGAACTTTCTCAAAACAATGATGGCTTGTTAAACAGAGTTAGTTTAGGGATGAAATTATGCATATTAAATCTAATTTCCTCTTTATTTCTGTTCTCTCAATAGCTAGTATCACAGGAAGCAGCTTTTCTATAAAAAGTGCATTTTATAAGTGAACAAGTTTATTGGGGGGAAAAAACCGTATGAAGAGTACTTTTCTGGCCCTACAGTCTATTCTAGCCCTATACAGTAGTTTCAATGCAGCAATCAATCTTTCACAATTGCTAAAGAATGTTTAAAATGTAATACTTTCTAACTTTGCAAAATTAAAATTCACTTAGGTCACTGGAGATCACTACAGAAGTAATTTATATAGTCTTAACTGAGTAAGTCATAAAATTAAATGAGACTGTATTTTAATTTTTATGGAATCATTCACCTCATGTCAATATGCTTAGTCATAGTTTAAAGAGATGTCAATTTGATATTTACAGAATTAACAACACCAAAAATATATATTTATAAAATAAATATATAACATACATTTAAAGGCAGGGAAACCACACAGTTTCCCATATACAACATTACTGTAAGGGACACATAAAACAGTCATTTTGTTATGACCAAGATTAGTTTCAGACAATTCCTTAAAGAGAATTCTGTCTTATTCTTAAGACTTCTTTTATTGCAAGATTTGTACATGGTAAAACCACATCAAAGGGCACTATTGCTTCATTTTCTTTCATTTGCACTTTGCACCCTTATAATCTCTGGGAGACTAGGCATGAGCTCTTAAAATTAAAAAGAGAGCAAAAATATCTGTCAAGAATCTTAAAATGGACCATGGTATAGGAAATAAAATTTTCACATTTCAATAACGTTACATCAATATTTTTTCTTTAATGCTAATGAGACTGCATACCTAGTCAAAATTACAATTGAGACCCACTACTAGAGATAAATAGAACTGTACAGCTTATTCAACTGAAATTAACTGATACATTTGCTTGGCAATCCTAGTATTAAGTTAATGTAAGTATATAATAATTACCCCATTTGAAGAACAAGAAGCCTAAGCAGAATTATTTCTTGGTCATCTTTCTTTGGCTCTTCAGAGAAGAGCATAAAAAACTTGTTTATTTGGAAAAAGATTATGTCTATGAAAAAACTGATAAATTAGTAACTGGCTGAAATAAGAGGTTTCAAATGACAATGACAAATGAATAAACTTTTTACCTCAAGCCACAAATATACTAAATGCTATAATTTGTTAATTTAAATAAATAATAAATAAATACATTTGTGGACTCACTTTTAACAGAAGGACAAGATAATATTTGGTTGTTTTTAACCCAATGATTGTAGGAATTGAGGCCCATCTGGGTCAGTCTCCTAAGAAGGCATTAGTTTCTAAAAAAGAAGCTATTTTGTTTTGCATTATCAGGACTGTCCCCAAACATATTTATATTATTTGTATGAGCAAACATAAAAATAATATAAGCTATTCAAATCTTAAATCTGGCAAGAAAAAAATATTCTTTACACAATCACTCCTTTCAACTCTGAAAAACATTGGGACAGTTATCCAGAATTCAGTAACTGTTTTATTTCCCTATACAATCCTAGGATTAAACTATTTTTTTTTAGTGAAGTATATACCAACAAGCTGTGAACCTTTAAGGGAACTGGTGCACTTCCATATATTTATGCTTTTGTGCTGCTGTGTCCTCAGTACAATATAAGCAATATTTTTCTTGAACTTCGGGAATTTGCTTCAGCTCTATCTTGTGAACCTTCTGCTCATATAGACAACAGCTAGATAGCAGCAAAGAGAACTTTCAGTATATACAGTATTTGCTTTCCAGTAGCAGGCATCTGGGTTTTGGTTGCCCAGATACGGTAGCTTTATCAATAGTAAACCCAAAGTTGTTCTTTTTTTTTCCAAAAGTCAATTGGACTTTCCCAATTGTTGTTTTTCTCCTTTTCCTTTCATTGAAGACGTTTCTGAATCTTTTCAGAAACATCTTGGATGAGAAAACGTTTTCAAAGGAAAAAACCAAGAAAACTCCAGTTGTCTTTTTGAAAAAAAAAAAAAACAACTTTTGAACAACCATGACCAGGATGATTGAGAATCTCCATAGACACAAACCAGTTAAATTAACTGGATTTATATTCTGGTTCATGTGAATAGAAGGATTAAGCTACAAGATCCTGACAGCAGAACAAATGGACAAGCCATAATTATGCTACCTTTGCTTGTACACAAATTCTCTTTAGCTGTAGTTCTCAGATACTACCCATTTACACTTTTACTAAGTGATTTTAATTTAACTAATGGGGGGGAAGCCCCCAGGGGTCCTAGGAATGCACTAAAGAAAAATCTATTCCTTTTTTAGGGAGGTAGTATGGGAAAGGAGAAAAGAGTTTACAGTTTTTATAGAAATTGTAGCAGGACATACTAATTTTTGAAAAGAATACACTGTATTATCTATCTCATAAATGTTGCTTGAGCTTAAAACTGCATATAGGACGGAGAGATGAGAGGCCCTTAGTATGTTTAGAACTGGTTTTAGCTTGAATTTTTTGGCAACTAGAGACAACCCCCAGAAACTAATAATTATTAGAGATAAATTGTAAATAAGGGGCAGGGGAAAATGTATTTGTTTTAGATGCTCAGATAGATTGTGACAGCCTAATACTCAGCCAATGAGAGAAAGGTGGGAGGCAAACCTGCAACTGGGAGAGGGAATATAAAGGAAGTATATAGATGGCTTAAGACACAGGGGTCTTCAAATGTTCACCGTACCTGCTAATGCGTGATGCACCCTCTTTGCAAAGTAGTAAATAAAATTACCATTGTTTTCTTTTATAGGTTTTGGCTTGTAATTATATTTCAAAACTAGGCAATTCCCACAGCGGGCATACCTCAAAATGGAATTGAGCTGACCACGAGCAATGGAAGCAAGATTATGCCCCATAACCACCTCCCCTCCCCAACTAAAGATATAGAAGAACCTAGAAAAAAGGGCAGTTACCATTCTGAAGAGTAATTTTTGCTCCTACCCCAACTTTCTCAGGGCAAGGTAGCTCGCTGGATACAATGAGCCTTGGGGAAATCGTTCCTTAATGACCAGATTCTTCTCTGGGAGAAATCACCCCCCAAAGGAAGCAGCCCTCATTTCCTTTACGAGCTGCTCTCTTAATAAAAGGTATTTAGGTTTAGGTCGAGTCAGATTCCCGGGTTAAAAGCTTCCTTCTCCCTCTTGGTTTTTCCCAAGCTCTGCAGGTCAGAAGCAGCAAAGGTGGTCTTTGAGCAACTCCGGACACGCAACTCATCCAGCTGGGCCCCTCAACCTCGGAATCTCCTCTCCCTTCCCTCCTTCCAGCGCTTTTCCTCCCCCTCCTCCTCACTCACCGACTCCCTCCCCATCCCAAACGGCCCCCGTCGCCCGCCTTCCCGGGAGTGAATGTGGACCCCAGATTCGAGGGACGGCTCCCGGTTGCCAAGCAACCGACCTCTCTTCCCGCGCGACACCGAGGCCTGCTCGGCCCGGCCCAGTTAAGGAAGAGGCGGTGGCCTCAGGGCGGAAGCGCGAGAGAGCGAAGTAGGCGCCCGACCCCGGGATGCCGCTGGCGGGAGAGGCGGAGGCGCGCCGCTGCCGAGCGACGCGGAAGAGGCTGGAGAAGTTCGCCGAGTTGAGAGGTGGCTGCGAGCTCGGCCAGCAGCATGGGCTGTCTTGGTTTGGGGCCTCGGCAGTTCCTTCTTTGGATGGCTAGGCGGGTTGGCGGCTGTGGGAATAGGGACTTCCGCGTAATTGCTGGAGTAGAAACCAGCGTTCAGATTTCCTCCCCCCCTCCCCCCCCCCCCCCAGTTTTTTCCGCAGGGGAGAAATGTGGGGGGGGGGGGGTAAATGACAGCATTTGTCAGAAGGCCTTTGCTATCACAGAGCCTTGCAGATGGATTTGCAGTCACACTAAACCATGGTTTACTGAGCGTCTTGGATAAAGTGCTGTTGGCTAGGTTAGGTCAAGGTGCTCTGCCCAAATCAAACTATTACAATTTAGTATAATAGTATGAACTTGGTTCTATTTCTTGATGGGGGCTTTGTAATAAATGAATTCAACTTTCTCTATGTCGTGGTTGATGTAAAATTTATCGTTCACATATAAATTGTATTGGTTCTTTGTAAAGGAATGAGCACATCAGATGTCATTCACTATAGAAAATACAGTGTTCTCATCTTGATAAAGCTAAGCATATCTGGCCAATAGACTGGAAAATTTTCACATGCAATAAAAGCATTTTAGTTCTGTGCGAAGTAGGGGACTGCAAAACTCACAGATTTGGGAACAGAATATTCCAATGAACACCAGATATTTTTGTTGGGTTCTAAAACTTTTTCTTCCAACCACATTTACTTCTGAAAATTGTCAAACCTTTTCTTTGCTCCCCAAGCATACGTTTTGTACATCATTGGAAAAGCATTTAAAGGATGCATTTTTAAATATGTTGGCGTATATATAAAGCACCTCTTTTTGAATGGCTAAGCACATTTGCAGGCTCATACAACATGGACTTTCTTATGTCCAGTAAAAGCACAAAAAGAACTATCAGGAAAGCAATGTTTGATAAATAAGGTTGAGATTAAGACTGCATGCTTTCCACAGAAATACAAACACCTTTTTAATAGAACCACAGAAAAGATACAGCTACTTTAACCATTTAATCATTAAAGAAGTAATGCATTCATGTCCCCACACATTCCAAAGTACCTTTTCCAAATCATTTTCAATACATGCACATCTTTTGGCACCTTAGGCAGCAAAAAGGAAGGCATTAATGGACAACTATGCATCAGAATTAGGTGAACCCAAGAAAAAAGAAAATGGTTGGACTTTAGTAGCTAACTGCAGTGTAAGTTACTTGCAGGTATTTTATGGTGGTGTTGGAGGAATATCACTTGTAACCAATTGGAGTAAGGAGTAGAAATCCCAATTCAAGGATTTTGAGTCTTGTTTGGGGTAAGAACATTTGAAATCAGTTTGGTAATTATTTGTTATAATGAATGACATTTCCTTTTTTCCAGTCAGGTAAAACTGTGCAGACTGGAGAGTTTTGGGATGTTGTTGTGATAACAGCAGTTGATAAAAAGCAAGAAATAGCTTATCAAAAGCAATTGTCAGAAAAGCTGAAAAGAAAAGAATTGCCTCTGGGAGTGGATTATCATGTTTTTGCTGATCCTCCTGGACCAAAAATTGGTAGGTTTTGCAATTTAGAGAAAGTTAATATTAGCAAAATAAAGCATATATACCCATACATACATTCAAAACATAATACAGTCCTTCCATTGATGGGGCCGGAGCATTTGCAGGAAGGATGAGCAGAACAAGTGATGGAACTTATGCCGGAAATTGGAATAGAAATCTGAAAGAGCAGAATTTGCACTGTGTGGTCATAATGTAATCTAAGTTTGCTGCAGATATCCATTCATGATGCTCTCTCACCATCATGCCTCTCTTGAACGCTTGCATGTGGGAAACAATAGGATTGGAAAGGCTGCCATCATTCAAACTAAATTAAGTACTTCCGTTTCTTTCATTAAAATCCATGGAATTTAAAAATACATTAGCTGGCTTCTGCCTCAAGTTTGTTAAGTTTAACTTTTCAATCATTTGGTGAGAAGAAACAGAAACAGTTTGTGGTTAAATGTTCAGTACAATTTGATTAATTTTCAGACAGATAAAAAGGTTCTCCTTCTGGTGCATATTATGACAGCTGTATCTTTTACTGAAAGATTTCCAGAATGTCATTAGAAGCCAAATTATATTAATTAAACTTTCTAAAATATGTTCAAATACTATTATTATGCTTCTTTTGATTGAAATGTGAAATTTCATTGCCATTAATGAGCTGGATGTTCTTTTGGACAACATTTCTATTGAATAGACTCTTAAGGATCTTTCTAGTTTAGGTAGTATTTGTATTAAATTTTACAGTGTCTCCATTTATGAAAACTTTTTTCTTTTAAAAGTATTCTAGGGAAAAATAGAGATCTGGACATGAAACGTATATTTGAGATCAGCTTCATGATTTGTGTTGCATATTACTCCGCATTTATATATAATAAATGCTTTCCCAACCCTTTTTTAATGACTCCATCCGTTCTGTTAAGGACATAGAGGAGGGCGGTTCATTGGGCAATTCTAGCATAGGAACAAATTCCATGCCACTTGTAATTTGAAAAGGAGTTAATCCCATGCTGCTGTGCCTTGCATTGTTGTGTGCCACAAACTACCTGTGCATAGGATTAGAACTCACAGACTTGGGGCTTCTAGACCAGCACCATAACCAGGGGTGGGATGCTACTGGTTCTGCCTGGCTCTATAGAACCAGTAGCTCTGAAGAGCAGGAGACACCGAACCGATTCTGTGTTTGCTGCTGTTTGGCCCACCTGCCCGCCTGGGCTCTTACCTGTCCTTTATTCCCTACTTTTTCAACCTCAGCTGCTTTGAGCGGCACAGCTGAGGTTGAAAAAGCAGGAAAAAGGTATTTTCAAATGCTGCGCATCTGCGCGCAAACCTTTTCAGCTGTCTGGGCAGCACAGCTTTTGGTGTTATGTGCATGCAAAGCGCACATGCGTGCACAAAAGGTCACCGAACCGGTGGTAACACCGGTTGAATCCCACCCCGACCTTAACCCCTACACTAAACTAACTAACTGTATACTGAATTCTAAAAGGTTGATGGTGAATGTTTTGCATGACCTTGACCCAAATAATTATGGGTTCTTAGTATCTAATTGGACAAGCATATTAAAGGAAGTAGCTTCTTATCAGGTTTCTGTAATACAACTACAGAGCCTGATTAATCTTAAGATTGCCATCAGGTGTTTTTTTTAAAGCTACCATGAAACTTAAGTAAGTCCATATATTCCTTTGTTCTGATTTATCCTTGTTTTTATAATATTGAAATTAATTGGAATTTCTCAGCACTTTTGCCATGAGATGTAATTATACCTCATTCCCTATCTATGTGACTTTTGTTAATCACAAATGTCCATAAATATATAAGATACTCCTCTCTGGGGGTTAGAGATTCCCAATTTGAGCAACTTCCAAACACATGGACTAACTCTCAAGATTCTTGTAATCAATTGCTATACCTGATTTGGAGCATATCAGCAGCTTTTCCTAGCATGAACACAAAATGTCAGGAGAAACTACATATTTTGAGAGTTTCCTATCTTTTCCATGACTACTGTAAAAATGATGATGACTGATCCAAGTTCACTAAATAAATTTTGTAGCTGTGTGTGGTTTGAAGTAATACGACTTTCAAAAATAGATGTATCAGTTGGTTGCAAACTACTCCTGTTAATTCTTGTTATTCCTAAATTTAAATATGTTGAAATGTTTTGTAGGAAATGGTGGATCAACACTTCATGCCCTTCGGTGTTTAGAAGAGCATTATGGAGATAAATGGGATACCCTCACTATCATATTAATTCATTCTGGTAATTTTTATCTGTCAATCTATCTTACATTATGTAAGGTGCACGTCTGTTTGTTTTTTCCCTGAAGAGAGTAGTGAAGATGAATTTAGTTTCTTTCCAGTACAAAATTATACTCAAAGTCAGATAAGCATATTTAGGTTAAATTATAACCTGAACATGTGTTTAAAATTCTGTTCAAAACTCCTTAGAGGAAGGAACGATTGTAGAACAATACTATTAATGACCCATAAAAGTTCAGTTATTTATAATTTACATAAAGCTTGAAAGAATAAAGTATGACATTGGTACATAAAGTTGAATTTGGAAATCCTATATGATTTTTGGCAGAATTATTTCACAACTCACTAGAAAGCAGACATTTCAGTATCCCTGTGCATTAGAATATGATGAATCATAGATTTTTTGGTCTCTTATATTGATGTTTTAAGTAGGAGGCAAACAATCTGTAATTTCCTCCACACAATGCTTAAGATAGGAGATAGGAACACAGCCTTTTAAAATGAAGGTTTATAGCAAACAAGTGAATTGTACAAGTTGAGGGTTCTTTCAGAGTTTTCATAATGGAAATGCAGGGTACATGAGTTTTCCAGTTTAACATGTATGTTAGCTGTAACCTATCTGAAGAGTCCTGCCTTTGTGCTGTTTGTACATTTGGCTCTGTGAGGTATTAACCTATAAAGTTTTCACTTAAGTTCTCTGACCATACCAATCTCATCACAATTTTTCTTTCTTTGCCATTTTTATAATTATATTAACTCTTTTATCCTACAACTGTATGTACATTGCAGATTTATTTTAGCATTGTTTTTAAAAACATTCTGTCACTGAAATATTTTATAGAATCTTTGTCCAATTGAGGTGGTTTTACTTAGAAAATTACCCAGGTCAATGCTCACTTTGTTCATTTCCTTCTGGTTGGGCCTTATAGTCTCCAATAAACAGTTGTGCAGACATTATTTCTGATTATATTCCGTGCTACTGC